AGTGCAGAGAGTGTAGAGATAGGTCGATAATTAAAAGGATCCATCTCCTCACCCCCTTTATCTATTGGTGTGACTTTTGAAACTTTAAATTTTTCCGGAAATATTCCTTGCAATAGAGATTGATTGAAAACCATACTTAATGCCTCATATATGGTTTGCTGCGTATTTTAAGCATCTTTGGAATATCTAATGCCGACTTGTCTACTTTCAAACTCATTATTTTGCCATATACTTCAGTCGGGCAAATGCCACGGGACATAAAACCATTTGGTTTCATAGAGTCTATCAAAATACACTGAAGGGTCTATGTCATGTTTTGGTAGTTTATCTCCTAGGCCATTTCCAACATTTATAAAATGGCTGTTTAATTGATCACAAATACTCTGCTTGTCTATATACATTCTATTGTCACGCAGCAGTTTCTTGATTGTATGATAAGTATTTTCTTTTTTTGTTCTTTTCACTTTGCTAATTAATTTCCATGTGCATTTTATGTTTTCTTTGTTCCGTTCAAATTGTTTAGAAAAATAACTCTTTTTAGCTGCGTGTATAATCCTATTCAACTTATTACTATATGCTTTATACTCTTTTTCTTTGCCTGGGTCCGTACTGTATAAATTAGCCTTTACTAATTTGTGTCTTTGTCTGATTGAGTGCATGATTGCTTTCGAAATCCAAGGCCTTTCTAAACGCTTTCGTTGCCGTTTTGATGCTTTGCGCAAAGGAGCATGACGGTCTGTGATAGCGCTCAGATTGTCTACAATACTGGTAGTTACACTTTCATCAACATCAGTTGATATCAAGCTTTTGAAGTCAACTGCAAGTAAATCTTGGTGAAAGGCATTTTCATTAAAACGTCCAAAGTCTCGAAAAAACCTTGGTTCATTATTTGTAGGCAATGTGTTGGCCATTGTACAGAATACTGGTAGATGATCAGAAATATCAGCAAGGCAGGGTCCAGATTTAATTAGGGCGTATTCGTGTATATATGATCGATAAGAGTGACCGTTTGGTCCGTTATTCTGGTTGGTTTGGTAATAATTGTCATAAAACCTAAGCTAAGGAACATGTCTAGGTACTCTGCAGGAGTACCCAACGGAGCCGCTCGACAAAATACCCGCTCTTCAGGCAGAATTTGAGCTAGCTGGAAAAAAAACCTTGGCAAATTAGCTGGCTGGGAAATCTGAATGAGCGCCTCGCTAGCTGAAAATATGAAAAATTCATGCCGGTTCTGGCTGGATAAAAAGGTATATTTTTTCTCCTGGCAATCGCACTGTAATTTTTGCTGCGGAGCGCCCGAAGGGAGCGAGCAGCAACATAATCAGGATTTAAAGGAAATATATAAGGGGCGACGAATTCTCGAATTCATCACTTTTTACCACAATGCATTGCATTCAACCACACTTTTTACCACAATGCATTGCATTTAACCAGAGTGCATTGCGCCACGAACAACTCAAATAAAAACACGGGGAAGTTCGGTGGGTGAGAGTGCATCGTTCGCTGCTTAGACTTACAGTTTTCTTTGTGGCAAATTTTCTACAGCACGGTTAGAGGTCTTACCGAATTTTAAGACACGCAGGAGTCTTTCAGATGAGTACGATGGTTAACTTGGGGATTGGATTTCAATTTAAGAGCCTTTGATTCGTCCAGGTGTTAAACCTGACGAGAAGATGAGCATTTGCTGTTCGACTCCGCAACACGGGGGATATACAAATTCCAGCTTGCTAGAAGGTGATGTGAAAGTGAGAAAATGTCATGCAATGCTATTCTTAAGAAACTGTATGAGCCGAAAATGGATGTGATTTTGACATTCGCTTCAAAATAACAGCGGAAATCGAGATAACAAAACATATGTTTTGTGTCCTACTTTGCAGACGAGGACGTGTATCGGCGTTTTGAAAAGCATAATTATGTTCTTTCATTCATTCATTGCCATGGAAGATGCGTTTACATTGGTTTTTCACTGTTAATAGCTCGGTTAAAGCGGCCGGCGATCATCTTGGCGGCGGAAGTTTCATGGAAAAGGAATAAAATGAAAGCCTTTTACTACAGATTACGTAATCAGCCACTGCGGTGCACTGGTTTGGTGTAGTCGCGTCGAGTCGAAGGTGTCGGGTTCGAGTCCTACCGAATTGTTTATTCCCACTTTCTTTTTTTTCCGTTTCTTTGTGTTGTTGTTTTCTATAAATATATAGCTAAATAACTGTTACTTAATAAAGTGTAACAAACAGCAAGAAAAGTATTGTGTTTCGAGAGAAAATATCGTGCACCGTATATTAAATATATGGATAAACAATCTGAATTTCTATTATTTCCTACAATTTACTGTGGGAAAACCAGAGTTGATAACCACTTGATACATTTTCTAAACAACGCTCTCACGAGTTCTTTCTATAGACTGATAGTAATTATTCTAGTACTTTCCAACATGTAAATAGGACATTCAATGTCATTTTCGATTCTTTTAAGTCTCACTGCCGAACTAAGGCCAGTGTCAACAGAATGTGCCGCAGCATTACTATCTTTTAGATACCCTAGTTTATATGGATATTAGAGCGAGCGAAGCAAGTAAGTGCGCGTGAAAATCACCCCACGCGGGCTGTAGAAATGACACCTTTTACTTTTAAAAACGGTTTGGGTGTGTAAGCAAAACGTCCTGCTGTGAATACCTTGTAAAAGATACACGTAGTGAGAAAATGACACAGTTGAGTCAAGCCCCCGGGGGGGGGGGGGGTTACTGCCATATATGGGCTATATAGGTATGTGCCGCTGTGAACGGTATGGTTTTCAGGCAGTTTACCCTAGGATAGGGTATATAAATCAGAGCGTTTGGGTCTAGAATAGGGTATCATTTTTCAGGAAACTGATCAGTTGGTTGAAGATTTTATCTAGACAAGGGAAACAGCTACTCTAGGATAGGGGGATTTAGGGAGTTTACTCTAGTATAGGGTTGCAAAATTCAGCTGAACTAGCTCTGGTATAGGTTAAGGGTTCCAGGGTCCCAGTGGCACACCCCCACCCAGAAATTCCTAAAGTACCCCCCCCCCCCGGGAGTCAAGCACCGCTCACCGCTTTGTCTTTTATAGTCGTTTCGCTGTCGATCCTTTATATAAAACACTTTTGTGTGTTCGTGTTTTAATATGCCTGTCTACATATCAGCTACTGGCCTACGTCCTACTTTAAAACCTGATGTTAAGGCGGCCAAAAGGTAAGCAAAATGGTTGTGTTTCTTTGTCAGGTTTCCGACGTGCATGTGTATCGAATTATTAAAGAACATTCGCTAGTGCACATAAATGCCATCAAACATTGAGACGATTGAATACAAAAACTCTCTCCAATAAATAATACTCTCTGGTCTTTTAGCGGAGTGAACTCAGAACTTATTTCATTCGGTATGCTTGTTTGCAATATTGTCCAGGTTTGCGCGCTCTGGAATATTTTCGTTGGAACCAATTTCTCTTTTGTTATGTGCTCATCTAGCCTCCCCGCAGACGTCCTTTGGGGTTCGTTTGTCACAAATGAATGCGTGACAAACGAACCCCAAAGGACGTCTGCGGGGAGGCTAGTGCTCACCAGGAAGGAAACTTCCTCGATCTATGGTCATTTGGAAGGCGTTTAGAAACTGCACAGGTATCTGTTAGGATCGGAAAAGGTAGGAAGATTTTACGTTTGTACTACCCGTATATTGACGTATTTCGCGTCCGTTATAACTGTTGTTTTTAAAACAGCCAACGTCCAAGTGTGCCGTTGCATTTCAATGCTCACGTCTGTGTAGTAAATTGTAGCATAGCAGGGTAAATCCCTAACGGCTATCTTTCTTTGACTTTCATTCCAGTATCTGGTTTGAAGCTGAGGCATTTCTTGCTTTTAAAGCTTTTTATCGTATAAATTGTAAGAGCTCTGTTAGGGACGGACCATTAGAAAAGTTATGGGGGAGGGGGGGAACTCTCGACCCGCAGGAATTTTTTTTCGTCATTAAATTCCTTGTATGAATTTATTTTAGGCCATAGCATGAATATTTTTTTGGATTAATTGGAGTGCAAGAATTTTTGTTCATTTAATTTTCCCTTGCGCGAATATTTTTTTTGTACTTAGCCCCCCCCCCCCCAAGTTTTCTAATAATCCGTCCCTTAGCAAATTTATTCATATCTTCGAACACAGTGACTCAGATTACACTTTTTTGGTGATGTTTCGCGGATGTAGGACCTCAAATTTGACAGCGGGCGTTACCGGCCATGGTTACGTTTGAGAGGGTCTTTGGCCCATGTAGAGAAAAAGAATAAAAAATAGTTTACAATTTTCTTGCCAAAAAATGAAAGAAAATCACAAATGTGAACAGTATTTACACATTTTCCTGAAATTGCTGCAAGCAGGGTTTAAACTGGACTACTGAATAAACAACTTAATAGTATGTTACACTTTTTTTAACCATTTGTCTTGAAGAACAGGATATTTTTCTTTGGAATTTTTATTTTCTTCTGGTTGTCATGAAGTTATTTCTTTTTACAAAATAATTGCCCTTACAACTCAATCGTAGCCTTCGCAACAGGCATCATTAAGGTGCTTAGGGTTGTTTAGAGGCGCGAGCGCCAAGCGCCAGATACGCAGTAGGACGCAGTTACGTCACGTTTGCCGTCTTCAACTCGAATTTTAAACGTACAGAAGAAGTTTTCACCTAACCTTATCTTATTGCCAAAAACTACAAGGATTTTTCTGTAGCTGTATTAAAAACTGAAGTACTGTTGCTGTTCGCAAATTTAATATGACGGTCGCTAAAGGTATTGTTGTATGTATTTTACTTTGGTGGGTCTCTCTGTACCCAAAGCAAAAAACGCTTGCCTTCCTTGGTGTGATCTTACTTACATTTTTTTCAATGCGCTTCGATTCTATAACTTATAGACATCACACGACCATCGCATGCACGACATAAGGTTACATGCCTTTATAGGTGATTGTCTGACTGCAAAACAAAACATTCCTGACTTACATACGACTATTGGCTTTTGCTGCGAAACTTTGCACCAGTTCTGGTGTGAAACTTTTACGGTGATTGCATGACTGACTACCTACGACTATTGACTTTTGCTGCGAAACTTTGCACCAGTTCTGGTGTGAAACTTTTACGGTGATTACCAGACGGACCACTTACGACTACTGGTTTTGCTGCGAAACTTTGCACCAGTTCTGGTGTGAAACTTTTACGATGATTGCCCGACTGACTATCTACGACCACTGTTTTTTTCTGCGAAACTTTGCACCAGTTCTGGTGTGAAACTTTTACGGTGATTGCCTGACTGACCACGTACGACTACTGGCTTTTGCTGCGAAACTTAATTTGTACCAGTTCTGGTGTGAAACTTTTACGGTGATTGCCTGACTGACTACCTACGACTACTGGCTTTTTCTGCGAAACTTTGCACCAGTTCTGGTGTGAAACTTTTACGGTGATTGCCTGACTGACCACGTACGACTACTGGCTTTTGCTGCGAAACTTAATTTGTACCAGTTCTGGTGTGAAACTATTAAGGTGATTGCCTGACTGACTACCTACGACTACTGGCTTTTTCTGCGAAACTTTGCACCAGTTCTGGTGAAACTTTTACAGCGACTGCCTGAATGACTACCTACGATTACTGGCTTTTGCTGCGAAACTTTGCACCCGTTCTGGTGTGAAACATTTACAGTGATTGCCTGACTCACTACCTACGACTACTGGCTTTTGCTGCGAAACTTTGCACCAGTTCTGGTGTGAAACTTTTACGGTGATTGCCTGACTGACCACGTACGACCACTGGCTTTTGCTGCGAAACTTTGCACCAGTTCTGGTGTGAAACTTCTACGGTGATTGCCTGACTGACTACCTACGACTACTGGCTTTTGCTGCGAAACTTTGCACCAGTTCTGGTGTGAAACTTCTACGGTGATTGCCTGACTGACTACCTACGACTACTGACTTTTGCTGCGAAACTTTGCACCAGTTCTGGTGTGAAACTTTTACGGTGATTGCCTGACTGACCACGTACGACTACTGGCTTTTGCTGCGAAACTTTGCACCAGTTCTGGTGTGAAACTTTTACGGTGATTGCCTGACTGACCACGTACGACTACTGGCTTTTGCTGCGAAACTTTGCACCAGTTTTGGTGTGAAACGTTTACGGTGATTGCCTGACTGACTACCTACGACTACTGGCTTTTGCTCCGAAACTTTTGTGGTGATTGTCTGACGACATACCATTATGGCTTCTTGGCTACAGAAACAATGAGTGAGTAAGATCAAACTCACGATGACAAGCTCTTACTAGTGCGGAGAAAAATACTGCAAGAACACGTTATCAGTCTGGCTTTAAGAAGTAAACTGTTGCCACAGCATATTTGAAAACATGGACAGTATTGTTTTTTTACACCGCAACAGAAAAGTCCTTGTTTGCTGTCAGGCGTTTACGTAAATGACGAAAGAGGAAACCATCCTCCCCACATTGAAACTCGAGTTAAAGACCGCAAACGTTACCTTACTTTGTGGGCTCGTGGTTTTCAACCGTAGCGGTTAGAAGTTTCCGACGGAAAGCCTGTTTACTCGAAACTTTCTATAAGTTCTAGTGTAAACTGTTTGCGCAGTAACAGTAGGCACGGCATACAATGCTGGCGATAAGCATGTGTCTACACTGAATTTGGGGTGATTTTCCAGAGGAGACCACACGTTGATCGAGCTTACTCGTTATGTTGTTTATTCTTAAACTTTATTTCGCCTCAGTCGATTATCGTTGGAAAAAATGCATTGGTCCAAAGGCTTTGCGGTGATCACTTTTTGACGTGTTATTGTGGTATGGACAAAATTCGGGATCTTCCTTTTTATCGTTTACCTGGCAAAAACTCAAGACTACTCCTCAAGTCCACATTCCAAAACTGTAAGTACCGCTGAATGTCTTTAGTTGTTATGTTATTGTTATGTAATACTTAGGGATAGGAAATAACATATACTAAACAAATACACTGATCTTTTCCCTATATCTCAAGAAAAAAAAGGACAACTCGATAAAAGGGTGAAACTGGTGGTTCTGCTACCGCTGGCTGGCAAACACCGAATTCCGTTTTACTCTGGCTGGGACTGCGTAATTTTTGTTTTTTTAACCTTGCTGGCTGGCAAAAAAACCGTCAAACATGATTGCTGGCTGGGATTTTTATTTTCTGAAAGTCTTGCTGGCTAGCAGTGAAGAGCCGGTATTTTTTCCCAGGAAAGTTAAATATTAACATAGGTTGACGTAAAAGCACTTTGCTAGCGTTTACGACATCGTATTGCGAGAAATGTCCGTTGGGTACTCCTGTCGGTTACCTGTAGGATGTCTATAGACACATGCTATTTCAATATTTTTTTGTGAAGTACGTGCCAACTCTATCCAGCATGACTCTATTCCATCATCCGAGATATCTAAGTCACTCCTTCTTGAAAATTCCAAGTCATTAGATAAATACAGACCAACACCTCCTGCCTGCGTTTTTGAGTTAGTGTTCACAAAAGCATAACCAGGAATATTCAAATTTGCACTCGCGTTTTCATTAATTTTACTCTCTTGTTAAGGATTATTTCTTGTGCCTTTTTTCTAAAAGAATGGTTTGTAAGAGCGAACCGGAAGTGCATTTTTACCGGAAAATACGTTACGCGCGGGAAGATTGATTGACAGTTTCAAATAAAAGTCCTCGGATTTAGGGGACGAGCGCTTACGCCATAGAAAAAAAATCTTGTGTGGATGTTTTGTCTTTTTTTACGGGATTTTTTCAATGGGAACTCTGGACTTTTTTAGGAAGAGGACTGAGAAAATTTAGGAACGTAAGGAGAAACATTTCTGGTCCCTCGGAGCCGGATAAAGTGGAGTAAAAGTTGGAATTTTCGAAGGAAAACGGTCTTGGACGTGGAGGATTTGTGTGGTGAGAGTTGACAGTAGTGTTGTTTTCGTCAAAGGTGAGGAAACTTTGTGGATTTTACGAAGGAAATCAGTGGAAAAATGTCGGACAACGAAGAAGATTCAGCCGAAGACCCTATGATGAAAGTGGAAGCTCTAAAAGCGGAAAAACGGACATTAAAAGGGGCCATAACAAGACAGCTAAAAGAGTTAGCGAGTCGGGTTGCTGGCGTCAGCGGCGGCGTTGAACCAAGAAGTTTTGAAGAAATTGAATAAATTAAAGCTACTTTTTAGCGTTTGGAAAAGATTAAGGAAAAAACTTTCGAAATACTGGAAGAATCACGGACATTGTATCAGGAACTAAAGAACACTGAAATGCAAGTTAAAGTCGGGGATGAAGAGGATGAATTAAACGAAAGAATTGAAGGTGAAGCTAGCGCCGCTCGTCGCGTCTTGACTTCAGTAACACGGAACACACGGCCGGTAAGTCCACCATCTTACTCGAGTAACTCTAACACCAGTTTGCCGCAAAGGAAGGTTGATAGTGGAGTGAATAACCTAGAAAGAATTCGCATTCCAACATTTAGCGGGAACAAAACTGAATTTCAGCACTGGAACGCAACATTTACGAGTTGCGTGGATGCAACTGCAATGTCTGCTCAGTTTAAAATGTTGAGATTGGAGGCATGTTTAGCGGGCGAAGCTTTAGAAACGATTAAAGGTTTAGGATATTCTGAGGCTGCTTATGAGGCTGCTAAGTTGAGGTTGTTGAGAAAATACGGTGGAAATCGTAGGGAAATTCAGTGTCATGTAGACGAATTAATAAAACTGAAGCCAATCGGAGAGAAAAATTCAAAAGAATTGGAAAAATTTGCAGACATGTTGGAGATGGCAGTGATAAATCTACAGGAGAACAATAGAGCGGCAGATTTAGAAGCGGGAACTTTGTACACTATCATTCTTGAAAAACTGCCAGAGAAATTATTGTCTCGATACATTCGCTGGGTAAAAGAAAATAGAAGGGTCGAGTCTCTAATTACACTCAAAGATTGGACTGCAGAAGAGGCTGAATATCAGATTCAAGCAACTGAAATTAAACATGGTTTAAAATCAGGAAATTCAAGCGGCAAATTTCACAACAGAAGAAGTAAGTCTTTTGGAAGTAACCGAACTGATGACAAAAAGAGGGGAACACGCCAAGTATGTGGGGAAGGCCATGCTGTATGGAATTGTGATGTCTTTAAAAGTAGAAAAATTCAGGAAAAATGGGCTACGGCGAAAAAACTAGGACTCTGTTACATATGTTTGGGTGATGATCATCTAGGAGGGGAGTGCCCAAGAAGTAGAGTGTGTAACATTGATGGTTGCAGGGACCGACACAACCGTTTCTTACATGGGAATCGAAATGGAACAACTCTCAGTCTCGACCCCTGGGAACTCAGCCTCAAGAAACTCAGCCTCAAGGAACACGGCCTCAGGGAGCCCAGTCCCAGTCAACCCAGGTTCAGTTGGCCAGGACAATTCAAGGAAGAAGGGAAATCCAGTCAAACAGAGATGACAACATTCTGTCACAAGGAACTCGAGAACAAAGCGGCGGGCTTACCACGGAGGGGATGCTGACACTAATTCAACTTCGCTAAAAATGCAGAAAGCAGAAAAAGTGGCACTGCGAACTGTTCCAGCAATCTTGACACATGGTAAGAAGAGAATTCTAGTCAATTGTTTCTTGGATGAGGGAAGTGACACTACATATGTGACCCTCCACAGGAATTTGATGCTAAAGGTGAAAGCACGCGCACGACACGCTTGCACGACACGCTTAGCGTGCCGTAGATCACGGATATGCGCATATTAAATTGAAAAAACAAAGACGGACACACTTGCCTTTGTTTTGGCAAATTTAACACGCTAGACCTTTTGTTTTTTTGTAGCGTGCCATATGTCACGGTAAGTGCGCGAATTATAGCACGGTTAGCGTGCAATTTGGGTAAGACACGCTGAACACGCTTGATTACTAAAACCGCTAAGATGATAAAAATGGCTTGGGTTTTCAGCGGATTTAATCAGCATTGATAACTGGTCGAAGTGAATCAAATATACCAGTTGAGACTGTTTTGGAATTTGATAGTAACCGTGGCCATTTGAAAATCACGACTTAATTGTGGTCTAGCCTGGAATTAATGCGAGATCAGTGTAAACCAATTCCTCCGGCTGTCGGCTAATGACCGGAATCGCAAAGAGGCCTGCTATCGCATGCGAGGCACTGAAGTTATGTCGCCTGAAAATTATAGTTATGCCACCGGAATATTTATTAGCAGTAATGCACAGAGAAATGAAGTTGAATAAATTAGTTTAATATATTTCTTTAAGCCATGCTGAGACGAACGAAGGTAATTAAATCGGAGAAACAAAAACTGCCTAGAATTTTCTATAGGTTGAGGAAGGCTAAACATTTCTAGATGACCGTTCCATGCATGTACAATTTTCGAAGGTTATCTAATAAATTCCTTACGATTTTCTGAAGTTTAATTTTTTCCATTTCATTCCCCAGTTAAGCTATTTTTCGTAGAGAATTAAAGAATCCTAAAATTTTCGGAACCGAAAATACGATAAAATTCTCACTTTCCTAAAACTTTCAATTGGAAGCTAAATTTTTCGGGAAAATAATGCTGAAGCCCTTGTAATTTCGAAAAGACTGAGGTTGTCCTAGGATGCTAGGATGCATTTAGGAGGAAATCGCCGTCAGGTGCCTCTGACGAACGAAGCGCTATGCTAAGACGAATCAAGCGCTGTAAACGTGTACTATATCTCGTTCTTCACAGGACGAAAAAAACAAGAATCTGTAAGCTAAAAACACTGTAGAATGAGGGAGGATTGCGGGCGACTTTTCTTTGAATTTTGGGCGACAAAACTCATATTATCAGGTTTTGGACGACATAACTTCAAACGACATCACTTTCGAGTAGCTTGACCGTCACCCCTTTAGATCGAGCTCGATGAATTAATTCAATGACCGAACTTTATGGAGCAAATGATTGCCTTCAAGAATTTCACGCGGACTACTTTTAATTTAGTTCTTTTTCTCTTTTCTCAGTGTGTGACTGACAGAGATTTAATTCTCGGATCGAACTTTAGTACTCTAAACACGCCGTATTATCGTGGCAAAAACAAAGAA